GTTGCGTCAAACGGCGTGCGGAAGAGCGCCCGGAGGCGGGGGCGCGTGTGGTGGGTGCGCGCCTCGGGGCGTCGCAGGCAAAGGAAGGAACGGAGCGGCTCGCTGCCTGCTTAGCTCAGGAAATTTCGTGACGCTGACGAATCGCGGGATAAAAAGACTAACGGCTCGGGGTTGAATCTCGAAGGAACGGTGCGTTTCGCCATTGGCGGCCGATGAAGTCCGTCTGGAGGACACGCTTAGAGGTCGCCGCCTTTTATTGGCGGAGACTTTTTCCGTTCCCACTTGATGCTTTTTTCGTGAATACATCCAGATCAATAATGAATGAGATTCCAGTATCAGCATATCAACTCACCTTACGCTTCCCTTATGTATTTTCCTCCATATTTCTTTAAGAATCCGGTAGGCTACTTTGCGACGCTTTCTTATACGATTCACAATCAGCAAATTAGAGAATATTATGAGGACAGTTGGCTCATCGGATATCAATGTGGTAAGGAAGAATTGTCTTCTCGTTGGACAATTTGTAACTACGGTCTGAAAACTAGTTATTCTTTTACTACTCAAGTTTTAAATATCGAAATATTTAATACGAACACACAATTGGTCCATAACACACCTTATACAATGGGTATTACAAATACTGGTGTATCAACGATTGATACAAAATAATCGTATGCAATATCCATATAATAATCCTTCCAGATCACCTCTCTCGGGCGTCGTATGCCTGGAATCGACACAAACTTCTTTCGGTCACTACGTTCGAGACAATAAGGTTCCCCTTCTTCCCGCTCCCATCCCGCCTCTGCTTGCTCAAGACGCAGAGACAGTCAAGACTAGATTTCTCGGCCCGCGAACTGCAGTACTATCTGCGTATTATCTGTTACCTTCAAGACGTATGAAGTGTGTACATAGTTGCGACGCGTGGGCAGAGGCCGAGGTTGAAAGCGAGGAAACAGACGATGGGCTCTGCTGCTACAGTGGATCCCAATTTGGCACCCTACGCAATCCTCACTTTGCTGACAGAGGCTTCGGGGAAAGATGCAGCCTACGACAGAACGCAACCCTAAAAACAAAGCCAGCGCTCCGCAGGATGTTTGCTGGCAGGCGACGCCTGGCTCAACAGAGTAGCTGACGAGCACTTGCGGCCCACGTGCGACCTACAGCACGTGACAGGACGCCGCGTCCTCCAGGCACGTACGCGAACTTTCTTCTTCCTGATGACGGCCCACATCCGGACAGTTAGATGAGCTGCGACATCCATTTTGAGAACGATTATACAGGTTTCATTAAACTAGATTTTTTACGAATCTTTGCATGGTCACACACACATTTTGTAGTTATAAATTACTGAAAAGTTGAGGCAGTATTTTCACAGGTGTTTCTATCCCTTTAAAGAATGTCGTAAAAATAATTGTCTCTTTCGAACAATTCGCACTTTCTCTTCAGGTGTTTGTCACTCGACAAATTCGTAATACATGTACACACTAATGCTAAATTATAGTGAATGTCACAGAAAGGATCGTGATTTGAAATAATTTGTCACACAGTTGTATCTAGTAATAAGTGGTAAATTTCACGCTTTTAACAAACACTTTTTCCCCGAACACATGTTGAAAGAATGAGGGGAATGACGTAGAATTCCCAAACCCTCTGTCTTTGCTCCTAGCATAATTCTCCGATAGTAATCAATGTCCAATGAGAATGCGTCTTTCTCAATAGTCAAGATAAGAAAACTAATTTCATGTCATCAAAAGAGTTTAACCATCAAATCAAAAACTGTTACTGGAGACGCCATTTCACTTTCAGGGACATACCTGAAGCACAAGGAATGAGCGATGATACGCGAATGAGATGCGTGGTGATTAACAGTTGTATTTTATGTAGCTATTGTAATGTGACAAGATCCACGGGTTCTGAATCACATCAGTTGCACAATATTCATTTAATCATTGAAAAGACAAATATGGCAGAAAAAAGGTCAAATACTGCGGTCATATTTAGAAGCAATAAATATTATTTTTTATTGTACTATTAATTCGACCCCTTACAATCCTTGATGTTCTCTAGAACTGATAAAGAACTAAAGTGTAATTGAAAACCTGTTTTTAAAATATGAAAATTCGTTGAAATGAAGGGACTTCGGTTTTAAATACATTTGAAGAGTGAAATTATTTCACAGTCAAGCTTTATCGTTTTCTATAAAATGACTAACTAAAATATTCTTACTAGCGAAATGAAAATAATTCTTTTAGAATTCATCCAATGTTCGGACGTAACAACTCAACACTATCCGTTAATGAAGCGGCCCCTCCGAAAATGTGGGTAAAATGCCAGAGAAATTCCCGCCTTTACGTGCATTATCTTCCCACGATTTCTCTTATAATGTATTACACAACTCTCTAGCTGTCCTACATAGGACAAGTTAAAATTCACACGCTAATAGTACATTTGGTCTATGGATACTTTGAAGGTAAATTCTAGTTGTAAAACAGGAAGCGTCAGATTTTTTCTCATAATCAAACAAGATCTAACGAAAATTATTAGAAAAAAAATCTTCAAAACAATTCAGATACAATAATACAGTATAACTAAACTTGCTCTACAACGTGTTAGTTAAATTTAAAAAATAGTAATTGTTTCTTAACTTGATTTAACTAATTTGGAAAATTATTATTAAGTGTATTGTTAGGGATTTTGCATTTGGATAAAGGATGAAGCGTCGAGATACAATCAACGTCCAGTACTCCCACAGCCAAGACACAAACTCACATAGTTTCAAAGGTGAAATCAATTTGTTAGATATTTAGTATGTTCTGTAGCACATCAATCATATAATATCAAGCACTAATTCAAGTTATTACACGTAAATATTATGGATATATCTATGCGAATATTTATTACAGTTCTATTTGATACACAAAAAGAGAAAATTAATTTGCATAAAAATTGTAATAAAGTCACATAATGAAAACTTATTTATTGAATAAGTATCTTGTTCGCATTTTGCAAGTGTGTTTGAAAATGCTTTTCTTTATAATGATGAAAAGATATCACAAGACATGCAGTGCCCAGTTGGTGTGTATCGAAAAACGTCTTGAAGATATGAGCCAACAGAGCATAGTAATAGTCACAGGTCATGTGCATCAAGCACAACGGACCCCCCAAAGCGTAGAAAGTTACAAAGAGAACAGGACCTTAGACATCACACCTTCTGCGAGCACTGATCTCTAGGTGCACACATTGCCACTGTTCTCTACTCTGAGCACCCAAAACGAATCGGCATATATGGGCGTCTGCTGAACAAGCAAAAACAAAACGTCGCGCCGGCATAGCCAATTGGCGATCGGGAAAGGCAATGAACACGGGAGCTCTTGCG